TCTATCTATCTATCTATCTTGTGACACTGGGGCTTGGACCCATGGCCTCATAAATGTTAGGCAAATGCTCTACCACTGAGCTATATCCCCAGCCCCCTCCACATTTTAAATATTGAGTGTATACTTCATGCCAGATACCGGACTGATGCATGGTTATGCAGGAGAAACCAAACCAGAATCCAAGTGCTACAAATAAAGTTGTCAGACAGATGAGATGGGAGATCCGTGGAGAGATTAAATAGAACGGTTCAGTGCTAAAAATAGAGAAGGATTCCTTGGGAGAGAGATCTAGAAAGTCAGGGAGTCTTCCAGACAAGCTGGAATCTAGCAGAATCAGGCTCAGAGATCTGGGTAAACCAAGAGAAGGTAATATGTGTCAGGTGTCCCAGCCATGGGGAAGAGCAAGTTCAAAGCCTTGATATATTCTAAAACCAATCTACATGACTATGGCAGGGAGGGAGGCCCGTCTAGGAAAAAGGAATCTGAGCTCTCACCCAGGGGGTCTTGGAAGTGAGCAGAGAAGCAAGAGTTCAGATCTGACTGCTGTATGGCAGTCGCACCTGACTAGGGGGGCAGCTTCCATTTGGGGCACAGAAGTGGCTTAAACTATTCTTTTTTTCTTTTTTTTTTATATTTTATTTTCCAGTTTAAATTTAGATAAGAAACAAGGTTGCTTCACAAGTCAGTTCCAGGTCCCTCTCCCATTCCCTCCCCTCCTCCCGTGCCCTCCCCCCAACCCCCCCCCCCGTTATCCCCTCATTCCCCCAGGGAGGGTGTGGCCCTCCATGGGGGTGTCCATAGTCTGTCATTTCATATAGGGCAGGGCCTAGACCCTTCCCCAAGAGTTCAGGGTGAGAGTGCACCTCACATTGTTCTATGGGAGTCCAAAGTCCGTGTGTATACTTGGGATGGGTACTGATCTGCTGCCCAAGGCTCAATAGATTCCCTAGGCCTCCTCACTGACACCCAGATTCAGGGGGTCTTGATCAGTCCCATGCTGGATTCCCAGGCTAAGAATGGGGTTGGTTAGAATTGTTGGGTAGCTCACAGAGGAAAACAAGTACCTTGAAGACAATTGGTCTGGATGGCCATAAGCACAAGACAGAGCCCATCCCCCAGTTCCAAAGATGCCAAGTGTCCCGTGAGGCTTCCTGAAGGTGTATCAGGCTGCACCCCAGAGAGATGCTGTTCTAGGTTTTAGGACCCTAGAGCCTCATTAGCTCAGGGCAGCCCTCCTCAAGCCAGCATCTGCTGTCACCAGCATAGCTGGATGGCGACATCTAGAGGCAGCCTTGTATCTCCCATGGCCTCACACAGCAGAGCACTTCCTGCTGATGTTTCTATCCCTGTATCCTCACAAATTAATGACCCAGTCACCAGGCAGGCAGGGTTCAAGGTTCTCCCATTTTTCTATGCTACAGCCCAATGGGGACAGCAAAATCCCAGAACTCCCAAATGAACTTGGGTCCTCTTCTCTTTCACAAACCCACCACCCCGCCCACCCAGCCAACCCTCTCCTCTCCCTGAGCATCTAGTCTCATGCAATGACCCCAGACCCAAGTAAGATTATGGTTCAGCCATTACCTCTACTGCAGTGGAGCTTTTTGTAGCTAACTGGCCATTTCTGCCCACCCACATTCACATTCTCTGATACTAGATCCTCATGGCCAAACTTCTCCCTTCTTTTTGCTGTTTTCCCCCTTTTCTCTGACTTCCTCTTTTGCAGATTCTTCTCTTTTCACAACCAGCTTTTGTACCCCTGCAGTGGAACTGGGTTAGGTAGGTATGTGGAGGGGGCGGGAGAATGGAGTGGGAGGGAGACTCAGGAGGGCAAACGCTAACAGCCCTGGTAACATCACAGTAACAGCTGAGGCAGGACTCCTGGTTCTGTCCCAAACTAACAGAAGCTATATCCATTCTGAGGTCAATCTAGGTTATCTCCGCTAGACAGAGCTTCCAACAGCCTAGGCTGGCCTTGTACTTGGCAGGCACCTGAGCATGACCTTGAACTCTTGTTCCACAACACCGTACCCAGATTACCCTGCACCGTCCTTTCTTTTTCCTGACAGGTAATCTGAGGGCCCCTCTTTGCCCACTCAGCCACATTTTAAAAGCTCTGTGTCCATATTATTGGGTCTCTCTCACCTACCTCAATGCCTCGGAAGCCCTATCCCCAGACACTGATTCAGACCTCAAGCTTCATTTTTGTGTGCTCCTTTCCCTGGATGGCCCTTCCCTGTCCCATGTTGCCAGTATCATGAGCGTCTCGCCCCTTCCCAGCCTGAATGACTAGCTCCAGGACACCCAAGGTTTATGCATTGAAAGCAAACAGAACTGCAGCCCTGAGAAAACATCCTGTTTTTCTCTAATGCAGGGAGCTGGGGGCTGATGAGGGCTTTCCAGAATCTGGGAGAGGCAGGCAGATCTGTGGGCAAAGATACCGTGGGCGCCAGGGTGCTCCTCCATAGACCACTTTACCCTTGTTGATGAAAGTCAGAAGAGGAATCCTGACCTCCTCACTATGATCCTGCTGCCCTATCCAAGCCACTGCCCAGACTAAGACATGTATTGAGAAAGCAGAAAAGGGGAGACCAACGGGACCAACACTCCAACAAATAGTAAAAATTCACCAGTCCCAGATAGAACCAGTTACTTGGGAATCTGGCCACCGACACTTCAGGTTAGTCTCTAGTAGAGACTATTTAGGGGCATTTAGTAGCCTGGTCTACAGAGTAAGTTCCATACAGCCAGATATAGAAACCCTATCTCAAAAAAAAATTCTAGAGATAGGTTAAATCTATACATTTAATTTTTCCTGCTGGGTGGTAGTGTCTCACACCTGTGATTCTAACAGTTTGGAGACTGGGGCCAATATCTTGATCTAGATATACAGGCCAATTATCAAGACCCTGGGGTGACAAAGGGTACAGGTGTGATGGCTTCTAATCCCAGCACTCGAGAGGCAGAAGCAAGTAGATCTGTATGAGTTCAAGGTCTGGTTTACACAATACCAAGTTACAGGCCAGCCAAGGCTCTTCAGTGAGACCCTGTCTCAAACAAACAATAAATCGATACCGGAGAGATGGCTCAGTGGTTAAGAACACTGGCTGCCCTTCCAGAGGACCCTGGTTCAATTCCCAGCACCCACATGGTAGCTCACAGCCATCTGTTACTGCAGTCCCAGGGTATCCAGTGCCCTCTTCGGACTTGCATCTGTACCAGGCACACAGGTGATATATACACATAGGTGCAGACAAAACACCCATACACATAAAAAATAAAGTAAGCAGGGCGGGGATGGCACACGCCTTTGATCCCAGCACTCAGGAGGCAGTGGCAGGTGGATCTCTGTGAGTTCAAGGTCAGCTAAGGCTACACAGTGAAACCCTGTCTTTAAAAACAAAACAAAAAAAAAGTAAAAAATTCCTAGTACTCCCTTTTCTAACTTTTCCTTTTCCAAATTCTGTTCAAGAAATGACCAAAAGTGATGAATATACTAATTACCTTGATTTGATCATTACGCAATGTATACACAAGTTGACATATCAAAATGTACCCCATAGCTGGGAATTGGTGGGGCACACCTTTAATCCCAGCACTTGGGAGGCAGAGGCAGGGGAATCTCCGTGAGTTTGAGGCCAGCCTGGTCTACAAAGCTACACAAGGAAACCCTGTCTGGGGGAGGGGGAAGTACCCCATTAATAAGCTTTTATATGTCAACCAAAATATCTTTGTTTTGAGACCTAGTTTAATTACCCAGCTCTAAAATGCTAATGACGAAAGATTTGTATCTGCATTAAACCTTTTTAGATGTGTTTTCCCTGGATGTATATATGTACACCATGTGTGTACAGTGTCCAAGGTCAGAAGAGGTCATAGGATCCCCTTGATCTGCAGTTATGATTACGCACCACCATGTGGGTACGGGGAACTGAACCTGATCCTGATGATGCCCAACACTTGCCAGCCATGCTGGAGCACATGTGGCGCTCTTAACTGCAGAGCCAGTACCTCCAGCCATGCTGGTGCACATGCGCTCTTAACTGCAGAGACAATATCTCGAGGCCCTGTACCTGCATTTTACAAGGGCCCACTGAACAGTTCCCTCTTGGACGCATTGAGGCACAGTGCAGTCTTGGAGTCTTCAGTTCCAAGCAGCCTAGACTTTTCCCCAGAACTGGCTTGACACTACTAGTGCTACTGGCCTGTCCTTGGGGTTCTGACAGGATGGGTATCCCCTCAGCTGTGGCCACCAAGACCACCACCTGTGCACATTCATTATGTTCCCTTTTTAAGAAGGGCCCCACCCACCTCCCATTTCTCTCTCTCCTTCTCTCTCCCTCCCTCCATCTCTCTCTCCTGTTGCTCCTGTCCCCAGAGGCCAGTCTCCGCTCCCACCTTTTCCCATCCACTTCCCCCTCCCCAATAAAAAATCCTTTCCACCCAAGCTCAGTCACAGGGCCTGTTACAACTAGCAACATGAAAGCTGTTTTAACAAGTAGGCTCTCGGTAAACTTATGAAATCCTAGCAGGTCTTGGCCCAGAGTGCACAGTGTCTTTTTTCTTCTCCATTCCCTGCTCACATGGCTAACATAAGTGAATCCTCCTGAGGCTGGAGAGATGACTCAATATTAAGCGTGTTCCTCAAGTGGACCTGAGTTTGGTGCCTAACATATTGGGCAGCTCAAGGCAACCTGTCCCCCACTCCAAATACCCACTGCCTTCTTCTTACCTCCCTAAGCATCTGTGCTCATGTGATACAAATGCACACACTTAGTTAAAAATAAAACATTAAAATAAATAAAACTTAAAAAGGACTCCCCATGTGCTTCAGCAGCTACTAAAAGTCTTAGTGCACTATGCTTCTCTTTGGAGCAGGGTGTTCAGTAAGTAAGTAGTCTAAACTTGGCCTTGGTCAGATAAAAATGCTGAAACAAAAGTTGGCCCAGCATCCTAAAGGCTAAAAAAAAAAATTAATGTTCAAACTAAAGGAAAACAAATTTCATTTTTGATCCTTTTATTTAAAAGTTCTACTTAAATATCCTCAAAGGTTAGAAAATCGGGGTCAGATAGGAACACCAGTACATAGCTTAAAATACAAATGTCAGTAATTATTAAAGAATGTGGTTAATGATTGTTCCAAGAAAATGCATAGTAAGAAATATTTTCCCAGGAGGCAAGTTAAACACCAGGAACCAAAGGAGGAAGGGATGGCTCAGGAAATAGCTATGCAGCAGTCCAAACAGGCCTCCACCACCAGGCTACACACATGGCAGTTTACATCACAGGCTGCATCTCTAGCCTTGACCTTCAAATCCAAAGGGAGTCACAACTGCCCTTCAAAGACCTGAAGCTGGGGTGGCTCCATTCCAGAATATTAAGTTTAGCCTGGGAGGTTACAGCTTCTCGCTAGCTGTCCAAGGAAAACAAGTTGGTCAGAAGGACAGAACCAGCCTTCTTTTGAATACATTTTGTCGTTGATTTACATAATTATTCCCTTCTTTATCTGAAGATCAAGCCATTCACATTTTACCTGTGTTTAAAAGTTGTCAACTTGATTGTGTCTCAACCGAGTTTTGTCCAGTGTCCTAAAAGCTTCTTAGCTTTTAAGTCAAATGTACTTCTGGGGAAAACATCCATATATTACAACACCTCAAAGTTTACATATAATAAATTAGCTTTAACGTTATAAATAACATCTCAGAAAACTGAATCTTATTAACATGATCTAGCATACATTCAAAACTACGATCTTTTCTACAGTTTTACTAGCTTCAGAAATCAACAGCACTGTACAAAAAAACAAATATCTAAACAACACCATTTCCATTAGTTTCTTACCCCAAATCATGTCATTTTTAAGCACCAAGACATACTTCCTTCAAGTTACATCTGTAATATTAAATGGCTAATCTCACTATTTACATTTTAAAAGTCTAAAAACTGAAGACTCTATATGAAAAGGATGATAAGAGTTTTGGAAGAACTGACAAGAACCATGAATCTCCTTTCCCATTTCAGTGTCCCAAAGCAAAAACTCACTTGATTTAGGGGGCCATGGCCAAAACCCATGGCCAGGGAGACAGACATACTGACATGTAACCAGAAGGCAGTACTCACTGGAGCAGACACAGAAAGGAGAGCTGAGTTCATAGGAAGAGAAAAGGTAGATAATAAGCCAGTCTTTCTTCTTTCTCAATATTTCAGCTGGAAAACAGGGGCATCCATTAGCAGAGAGAAAGCACAGACACTCTTGGAGACACAAATGTGAGGTCTGTGTTCTATCAACTTCAGGATAAGTTACCCGAATCAGAACCATTCTACCAGCCTCCAAAATAGGGCTCAGATACTGAATACCACTTAAGGCTCCCAGGAGTACTCCTGGGTTTAGCTGGTGCAAAAAAAAAAAAAAAAAAAAAGGACAAAGAAAACAAATGTCAAATAGTGTCTTCCATTCAAACAGCAAGCCTTCAAGCTAGAATAATAATGACTCACATTTAGGGTTACCTTTTTGTTTTGTTTTGTTTTTCCTGAAGCAAGTTCTCACTACATAACCTAGGCTGGCCTTAGTGCCTAGCTGGAACACACTAATATTTTTTTTTAGACAGGGTGCCATGAACTTATGATCTTCCTCCCTCCTTCACTCATGTGCTGGGATTAAGGCATGTGCGGCACACCCAGGTTTTTTCTACTTTATTTTAGAGGTGGCACAGTTGGGGTTATTACTTAGGACTCTCTTACACACGAGAGTTAAAAGAAAGGTCCCCCTCCCCCAGGTAAGTCACACGTAAGAGTATGAAAGAACCACAGAAAGTAAGCGTACCCAAGTGTGGGTACAGGCAGGTCCCTCCAAGGAAGAACTACCTACATTTTATTTTTGAGTAAAAATCTAAGAGATCGGAAGTAACAGTAATGGTTTCAGAACAAAAGGACCCAAGAGTCCCTTTTAAAAAAAAACATGAGACCATATCACAAAATAGGTACACTAGGAAATATCCAAAGAACAAGCCCCATATGTTTCAATTTTAGTTATTTTGTGAGTACACGTGCCATGTATATTTGGAGATCAGAGGGCAACTTTTAACTCCTTCCACCACATGGGTCCCAGGAATGGATCTCAAGTTTCCAGGGTTGGCAGCCTTTATCCACTGAGCTGTTCTGCCAGCCCAGCCCCAACTCTTGTCAGAATGTCTACCTGCAAAACCGAGGGGGCCAAACCTAGTTACCTGTTAGTGTGTGACAGCACAGTGGGTAAGAGACAAGGGAAGGACTAAGACTTTGCCTACAGTGCTCTGATGAGGTACAGGAAATTAAAACTGCCAAAAAAAATACATGTGTTTCCATTTAGGGACACATTTCCTGCTGTTTAATGCCACAGCCAAAGAGAGGAAGAAATGTATCCCCTAACAAGGATCCATGTGGGTTAGCTTTCAAGCAAACACAAAGATTCTGCAGCCCCTATGACCAGATGCATCTCAGTTTTCACCCAACTCTCACACCAAATATGGTCTAATCACCGAGGCATAGCAGCGGCAATTCATAACAGGCAGGGGCAGGTGTCCCATCTGATAAGTCTCCCTCCTCCTTCCCAAGATGCAAAGAGAAAGCCTCCACTCACGGCTGTTTTCTTAGGGCATTCTTTACCCAACTCTAGACTCAGGCTGAAATCTTAAATCCACAAACCACCCTCAAATGTGCACAACTACCTCCTGGCCACATTGTTGCCTCGCTTCCAAGAGAGAACAGGTGAAAGACTGTCCAGTAAGGCAGGGTGAGGCTGGGCAGCATAGCAGAGGTAGTCTTATGTCAGTGTTTAAGGGATATAATCAGAAAGAATGAGAATTATGAATAATCCTGTGGCTAAGCCTGGAGGAACATTTTACTAAGCAGAAAGCCAGGGGTCAGGGATTAGACAGAAGTTACCTCCCAGTATGGCTCGAAGGTTTGGGGATGGACTCAAGAGAAAGGACCAAAGGCTATACAATTACATTCAGACAGCTCAGAGACCTAGCCCCTCTCGTCCTCAGCTGAGAATACAAGATGAGTGGCTCGAAATGTGCTTACAGCTGTCCTGCTTGCAAGCTTGATGATTCAGTTTCAAAATAAATTGAACCAGCTTTAAAAATGCAAATAGCACAGAATATCTTCGGTCATTACAGAAAGTCACAAACATAGGAAGTTAGAATACGACATAGAAAAGTGCCCTGAAGACTGCTTTGTAAACCTAGGCTTCCATAATTAGAAAACAAAATAAAAACTACAGCCTAGAAGTTGTGCATAACAGAGTTCAAGAGTGATCACATTCACAAATGTTGTAACTGGGTCTCAGAAGATCATGAAGTTATTTATTCTTAGACTCATGATTAAATTTATCCTTTAAAAGCACAAGATGACACAGTTTGTGTCTTTATAGAGGACATGGGCTACGTGAGCCTAAGCCATTTTGAGTATTGTCTGCCTGCTACATAGAAGAGTTGACCAGCGCACACAGAGACAAAAATCACTACTAATGCTTTCCCACCACAGCTGGGTTTCCTTTGTTAGTCAATTACTCAGCAACCTATATCTGCCTATTCCTTGATAAGGTTTGAATTGCTCACTTAGAAGTGAAAATGTTTTAAAGTGTATTCGTGTGTCAGCCTTGGCAACAGGGCTAGACTCTTAACCCTCCTTATAATATGTATCAACTGACTCCGAGTTAAAAAACACCACCATGACAGTGATATCATCCCGGTACATCCTGGCTACATCTTCTGGTAAGGTCAGCATGGCAGCCAGCCGCTCGGGCTCCATCTCCCCGTACTCGTTACTCCCGATGGCATGTCTGATCAGATGTGTGGCTACATTTTGGTCAGATGCATGGAGTCCACTGGCTTTCCTCTGCAGCAGCAGGCTCTGCATGAGTCCCAGGTTGGCTGGTCTTTGGTCCAGGTCCGGCTTACGGCAAGCAGCCTTGGATAGGTGCCCCACCACCAGCCTTACGACATCCTCATTGTCCAGCATGTCCCACAGACCGTCTGAGGCCAGCACAAGGAACTTATCTTGGGGCCTCAGCTTGTGGTATGTAACCTCGGGCTTGGCAGTCAGATAGGGTGGCGTGTAGTAGTGGGGTGGCGTGAACTGGTAGATGTTGAGGGCCTCAGTATCAAAGCCCCTCTCCAGGACACTGCGCTGCAACTCTTTACTCCACTTCAGTTGGACATCCCCAAAGGCCCTGCAGGGTATGAGGACACCCAGCAGCCTGTCATCTACGATGAGGGTCCTGCCCTCAGACTCAGGGTGTTCTCTCTTCAGCCGGGACAGCTCGGTCTCATTCCAAGCGTTGTGGTCCCGGGTGAGAGGCAAACAGGACCACACACCATTGTCTTCCTGGACACCAAGGATAGCGCGGCAGTCACCAGCATTTGCCACATGCAGGTGAGCTCCATTAACATGGGCCATGCAAGCTGTTGCCCCAGAAAAAGCAACCTGGAGGGATAAGTTCTTTGTCACCTGATCTTCCAGAGGAGCCTGAATTTCCAGTGAGATGTCAGAATCCAGTCTCTGGAAGGAGTACATCAATGCTTCTTCGATGCTCAAGCCCATTTCCATGTGCAGGTCAAGAAGTTCCTGCCAATAGACTCGGAGGTGGTCCAGATGTACTGATGTGACATCCTTATAAATACTATCCCCAGGATGCTTGAGCCACTGAAGGATGGGTAGCAAAGGCTTCATGTTTTCCATCTGCTCCTCCATCTGCTCCAACGTCTGGTGGGACATCAGGGACACTGCCATGTAGTAGAAGAGCCTCTCACTCACGGCTTGTGCACATGCATGACCACCATGTCCGTCAAAAATACCAAACATGAGTCCGTTGGTTTGCATGCAGGAAGCTACCCCTTGTCGGTCCTCCACTGGGGAATTGGCAGCCAGCTGGTTGCTCTCAAACCTTAACACTGAATTTGGAACTCCATCGTTGAAATCAAGAAGCTTGTGAGATGACTCGCCAGCTCGAAGCAAGTCATTGACCTGTTCAGGGCTAAGCTGTAAGTGGAAATCCTCTTCCTCGGTTGATGTGTGTCTGTAGGCTTTCTGCAGAGCAAAGCCACCACACGGAGTTGGGTTCTTTAGAGTCGACGATGCCTGAGGAAAATGCCTCCACTTCAGCTGATTCCTGTTCGAGGCGCCCCTTGAGTATAAGCGTCTACCCCCTTGTAATAAAGCAATCCGATTCCTTGCAGAATTGAAGATCCAGTAGGACACAGTACTTGACATTCTGAAGCTATAATGGCACGTGGAAGTGGGTTGTTTTTCTGCCTGAAAAATTAAAGTTTATGAAAGTTTCAAAGCTCAAATTTTTAAAACATTTCTTTTGCTAATGTTCCCTCCTCATATCTACCTTGTGCCTCCTTTTCTTCTCCTTTCCCGAGCCTACTGTCTCGCGAGCTCCCTTGCTCAGTCTCCCCTATGGTATCTTAGGTATCCGCCCTCCCAAGCAATCCGTCTACTCCATGAATTCCAGACACATAGCTGCTTACTGGCGGCTATCCTGGGTCCAGTCCTGTACCTGGTACACAGCAGGTCCTCAAATATTAGCACAACTTGGCAATTTCAGAGTCACTATATTTACCAGGAGTACTGCGTCACTAGTCTCAATGGCAATTACTATTAGTAGGATAGGAATACTACCAGTCTCATATGGTTGGGTTTTGTTTTATTATTGTTTTGTGCATCCCTAGAGATTGAACACACAGCCTCTTCTATACTGATCTACCCCTAAGCTACATCCCCAGCCCTCCTTTTATACTTATTTTGAGACAGGGTCTCAATGAGTTGCAAGGTTGGCTTTGAACATTAGCTCCTCCTTCCTCAGATTCCAGAGTAGCTAAAATTAAAGCCACAGGTGCTATTCTCACAAGACTTGGGAATGCTTTTTGCTGTTGACATTGTTTTGTTGAGACAGGGTCTCACTTTGCCACCCTGGAGGGTATAGTGTAGATCAGACTGTCCTCAAACTCATAGATCTGCCTGCTCCAGCCTCCTCAGTAATGGGATTAAAGGTGTATACCACAGATGGGCAGTGATGGAGACTTTGATCCCACCACTAGGGTGGAGAAGCAGGCAGATCTCTGTGAGTACCAGGTAGAGGCAGGTGGTTCTCTGTGAGTGGAAGGCCAGCCTGGTCTACAGAAGAGTTCCAGGACAGCTGGGGCTACACAGAGAAATCCTGTCTCAGAAAAAAGAGGGGGGGGCCGTGTACCACCATATCAAGTTTTCAGAAAGTTTGTAAAAATAAAATATGACATTTCCAGGCCAGGTATGGTTCTACATGACTTTAATTCCAGAATTTGGGAGGCAAAGAAGCAGAGGCAAGCTAATCTCTGTGAGTTCAAGACCAGCCTGATTCACATAGCAGATTGTTGCTTTTTGCATCATTCTGGGCCAGCGTTGGTAACAAAGTGAGGCCATGCAGGGTAGGATTCAAGGAGCTGGGAGTGGTGATGCAAACCTTTAGTCCCAGAATTTGGGAGGCATAGGCAAGTAGAGTTTGAGGCCAGCTACACAGAGAAGCCCTGTCTCAAAACACGCAAGAAATAGTCAAACTGGGTGTGATGGCGCACCCCTTTAATCCCAGCACTAGGGTAGCAGAAGCAGGCAGATCTCTGTAAATTCGAGGCCAGCCTGGTCTAGAGTGAGTTGCAGAAGAGCCAAGGTTACACAGAAAAGCTCTTGTCTCAAAAAAAAAAAAAAAAAAAGGAAAGAAAGTGACATTTTCACTATTTTTGTCATTGGGGTACATTCTTCTAGTTATTCTGTACAAGGTTTTTTTGTTTTGTTTTTTGTTTTACGAGACAGGGTTTCTCTGTATTATTTTGGAGGCTGTCGGTCCAGCCTAGCCTTGAACTCACGGAGATCCGCCTGCCTCTGCCTCCCGAGTGCTGGGATTAAAGGCATGCGCCACCACCGCCCGGCGCTGTACAAGTTTTTATATTGTTGGGCCAATTACATCTAACCTGGCTTCCGTGTTAAAGACAATGTTTTCAGTGACACTAAAATTTGTCAATTTTGCCATAAACATTCACAACTACTGGAGACTTGGAGCTTGTTTCCACTAACCTGGTACGTATTAAACACCAAACTGCATGGCCTTTACAGCCACCTTTTCCGTACTTGTTTCCAAAATCAGTAGGTCAAAGGGTATAAACGCACTGTCAAATTGATTTCCCAAAGCCAGTGAGGACCGTCCATTACCCACCCGACTGAACTTGGGGCAGATGAGGTCGTTCAGAGGCAGATGGCCTCGGACGCCTCTTGACCCTGCAGAAAGCACAGGCAGCTGGGCGCAATGAAAACCGTTCTCCGCAGATGGGACAGAATTTAGCTCCCCTAAAGAAATCAAGTTGATTCCTTAGCAGGGAGGCAAGGTCCTAGCTAAGAACTCAGGCTCCGTTTTAGTGTTCTGAACCTTGGCTTTCCCTAAAACAGCAATCCGCTTTGCAACGCCCAGCTCACGGGAAGCTGATGCAGGGAACCCGCTAAGCAGCCGACTCCACTAGAGCGGGGACCCACGTGGCGCTTGCGCGCGAGTGGGGTGACCACGACCGGGGACCAGCTCGTCCCGCCCTCTCACCTCATCTCCTCTCCGCCCCATCACCTGAGGCGCCCGCAGGCCAGGCTGAGGAACATGTCCGGACCCCTTCTAGTCCCCTTCCTTACCTCGTACCCTCGTCCTCTCCTCACCAGCTTGTGCCGCCCGCACTCAGCGGATGCTCTCAGTTCAGATCCTGCGCGCAGCGGCTCGGTTGCAGAGATCGGGTTTTACTTCCCCAGAGAGGCCCCCAGTTAAGGAACCAGCACCAGAAGAAAGCTCCCTCCCGCCATTTCTGATTGGGTTAACTTCGAAGGCGGGCCCTTGATAGACGTAGATATTACCCAATGGATGAAGAGGGAAAGAGGAAGACCGAGAGGCGGGGCCAGGAGGAGCCGCCCTGCACTCTACCCTCGGGGTTACGGTAGCATCTGAGCAGCCACTGCCCCACCAGGCCGTCACGTGGGACTATGCCCCCAGCTTGCCAAATCGCCACACCCTCAGGCCCAGAACCAAGAGACCTCTCCAGTTCCTTATTGTTCATTCTTGCTTGGGTTCCTCCCGGGTTTTGTTCCTTCCCTCCTTGCTTTATCGCCCTATCATCAACCCTTTGGACACCTTCCTTAAAGGCCTTATGGACGACTCTAGTTGTACTTTCCCTGACCTTATTTTCCAAACCTGCTGTTCTTCCTAACCCAGTAAAGATCCCACTGGCACTAGGAGACCCAAGTCTAAACACTAGGGTCAATTTGATGCCTACTTTACTTGTCACACACTTTTTTTTGTTGTTGTTTGTTTGTTTTTTGTTTTTCGAGACAGGGTTTCTCTGTGGCTTTGGAGGTTGTCCTGGAACTAGCTCTTGTAGACCAGGCTGGCCTCGAACTCACAGAGATCCTCCTGCCTCTGCCTCCTGAGTGCTGGGATTAAAGCTGTGGGCCACCAACGCCCGGCTGTCACACACTTTAATCCTGTTCCTTCCACATCCTAAATATCTTCCCACCCATCCATTTGCCAGTGCCAGATTCCAAGTCTCCAGACTCCCTTTTGCCAAATTACACTTAGTCCTAACTATCTATCCTTCCTCTAGAGACAGAATGAGCCTTCTAAAACCCCTGATCTAGCCAGGCAGTGGTGACACATGCCTTTAAGCCCAGCACTGTGGGGGAAGGGGGGGAGGCAGAGGCAGGCGCATCTCTGTGAGTTCAAGGCCAGCCTGGTCTACAGAGCGAGTTCCAGGACAGCCTCCAAAGCAATACAAAGAAACTGTGTCTCAAAAAGACAAAAATAAAATAAATAAAACTTCGGATCTAAAGTGTTGCTAGTCACTACTTTGAATTCACGATTACATTGGCCTATTAGTGACAAGTGATAGTAGCTGGCATTATTACTTGTTGGTAGCTTGGCAAAGGCAGAGGACCAGAACAACAGATATCCCCTGAATGCCTTCTGGTCCTAACAACAACAGAGCCAGTCTTTATCTCTTCCCTTATTAAATTGTTTTAATAGAGCTTTCCTATATGTGAGCCAGTAGAATCCTCTCATGAAGTCAAAGAGAAGTAAGAGACAGCAGAAAGGTCTGAAAATGGGATCTCCAGAAAGGAAGAGGCACTAGCCTACTTAGAAACCTGAACCCAAAGCCATGCCTAAGGTAAAGTACTTCTGTCAGATTTTTGTTAATGTTATATACCCTTTTACTCAGCCTCAGGCCTTCTAAGAAGGTGGTTGTTTGGAAGTGTTTTGTTTTATTTTTGTCTTTGGTTTTGAGAATCTCACTATGTAGTCCTAGTTAGCCTAAAACTAGCTTTGTAGACCAGGCTGGCCTCCAACTTACAAAGATATACCTGCTTCTGCCTCCCAAGTTCTGGGGTTAAAGGCCTGTGCTAAAGGCCCTGTTTTACTGTGGATTGTGTTTTGGTTTTGGGTACTATTGGATTTAGAGCCTCCCACACACTAGACAGACACTCTACCACAGAGACACTTCTTACCTCTCTCTTCTGCCCACCCAGTCTCACCAAGTCATCCAGGTCAAACTTAAACCTTAGCCTCAGGAGTAGCTGGGATTGTAGACTTGCACCACCAGGTGGAGCCTTTCTGAAAGTTCTGAATCAGAATTTGCACAGTCTCTTCCGGACACGAGGGCTGAGGGTGTGGTCTGTCTCTTTCAGGCCCATACTAAAAGTTCTGATTGAGTAAATGGGCATGAGAGAACAGAGAAGCATGCTTTATTTGTTGTTAGTATTCAGACATCTGTACTGGCCTGTCCTTAGGGTTCTGACAGGATACACCCTCAGCTGCAGCCACTAAGAGCACCACCTGTGCATATTCACTATGTTCCCTTTAAAAAGGGCCCGCCCACCTCCCATCCTTTTCTTTTTATTTCTCTCCTCTCTGTCTGTCTGTTCCCTGCCTCTCTCTTTTCTCTCTCTCTCCCCTTTCCTCTCTTCTGCTGCTCCTATCCCTGGAGGCTGCCCTCCCCTTTCCCCTTTGTAAGATCCCTTTCCCTTAAAAAAAAGAAGAAAAAAAAAAACTTCTTCTTGAACCCTGTCACACGGCATCTTTCTCTCATGTATCACTTTCTTTAAGTTACAACAGTTGTGCTTTGAGTTTGTTTTACAAATAGTTCATCTGTGCCTATAGAAGGTTAATTTTCAGAACAGAGGTGGGAAGTTATTGTTGCTTCAGTTTGAAATTAATATAATCATAACATTTCTCCCTTCCCTTTCCTCCCTCTAAACTCTCTTATATACCTTCCTCCTTCAAATTCATGGACTCTTTTTAGGTTAACTGTTATTGCATACATATGTGTATGTGTATATACATATATATTCCTAAATATAATCTGCTGAGTCTGTAAATTGTTACTTGTATGTATGTTTTCAGGGATGACCTTTTAACACTTTCGTGAGAAAAATTGCATCTTGTTGGTAAGTCTGGAACCATATTTCTTTTTATAAAATACTTATTTGAGGCAGGGGAGGGTGGTACACGTATAGTGCAAGCAAGGCCAGAAGAGGGCATTGGATCCCTCAGAGTTAAAACTGTACCCGTGTGAGGAATTCCAGCTTGCTAACAACCTCACAGCAGTGTGCGTACTGGGATCCAAACTCTGTGTGTGTGTGTGTGTGTGTGTGTGTGTGTGTGTGTGTGTGTGTATGATTAGGAACTGAATCTAAGGCTTCCCACATGCTAAACAAAAGTTCCACTACTGCACTGTAGCCTCAGCCACAGCTGAATACTTCCAAAAGTGAAAAATGTATCCATGAGGATATGGTGTATAATGCAGCTTTCACTTAAAAAGCTATAAATAAGGGCCAGTGAGATGGCTCAATGGATAAAGTTGCTTGCCACCAATTCTGACAACATAAGTTTGATCCCGGGGATCTACAGTGGGGAAGGTGATAACCAATTCCCTTAAGTTGTTCTCTAACCTCCTCAAGCAAACTATGTCATGTATGAGTCCCCTTCTCACAAATAAATAAGAGACTAAAAGAAGCTATAAGTACATCCTTCATGTCATATGTGATCAGCAGCTCAAGATCCCTGTGTGATCTCCAAGGTTCCTTGTCCCAAAAACAAAGGAAAAGGACATATCTTTCTATGAGAAAGGGAAAGTACAGATCAACTGGAACTTTCAGAAAAAAACAACATTCAGCCTCACTTTAAATCAAATAAGAAAAAAGAAAAAAATCAAATAGGAACTAGAATGAGCTATTGATTTAGGCCAATCAACCCTAACAAATACTAAATCACAATGAAAAGAGCTGGGTGTGGTGAATGAAGCACACTGATCGTGAGTTAGAAGCCTATCTGGGCTACCTACCAAGACTGTCAAAAACAAAAAGCCAGGGGTGGTAGCACATTCCTTTAACTCCCAGAACTCCAAAGGAGTTCAAACACAGCCTAGTCTACATAGTGAGTCCAGGAATGTCAGGACTATAGGGTGAATAGATTGTTGTTGCAAAAACAAGCAAAAACTGCAGAGATACAAAACAAAACCTAGTAATACCTAACCTGTTAGCTTCATGCTGTCCGCTTTTACAATGTCCTGTTCCAGACCTCAGAAAGTTTCTCATGGTGGGTTTAGACCTGCAATCATCTTCACCTCTAGGACTAGCACAGCCTCACAAGTAGATCACCCCCAACAAGAAGCAGTGACCTCACAGGAATCAGACTGTCTCCTTAGGGCCAGGCATTGGTGGCGCATGCCTTTAATCCCAGCACTCAGGAGGCAGAGGCAGGTGGAACTCTGTGAGTTTGATGCCAGCCTGATCTACAAAGCGAGTTCCAGAACAGCCTCCAAAACAATACAGAGAAACCCTGTCTCGAAAAACCAAAAAATATATATAATAATAATAATAGTAATAAAAGTAGGAAGCATGATAAGAGAGAACCTGTGACCTTTATCTTTCTGGGTCTGGGTTACTTCACTCAATATGATCAGTTTTAGTTTCACCTATTTATCTGCAAATTTCAAAATTAAAATTTTTATAAAGCTGATTAGTATTCCATAATGTGCATGTACACATTTTCCTTATCCAAAATTCACCGGTTGAAAACATTTTGTTTCCATGTCCTAGCTGTTGTGAATAGAGCAACAGTGAACATGACTAAGCGAGTAATCATGGAGTAAGATATTGAGTCTCTTGGGCATATGCTAAGAAGTGGTATAGCTGGGTCATACGAAGATTTATTTTTAGCTTTTTCTTTCTTTCTTTTTTCTTTCTTTCTCCCTTCTTTTCTTTCCTTTTATTGAAAATAGTTTTCTTTCTTTTCTCATATAATATATAAGGATTATGCTTTCCTCTCTCAGTTTCTCCCCACCTCCCTTTCTATCCAGATCCACCCCCTTTCTGTCTCTCATTAGAAAATACACATGCTTCCAAGGGATAGTAATATAATAAGTTAAAACAAAAACTAACACGGCCAGGCAGTGCAGCGGTGGTGGTGCACACCTTTAATCCCAACACTCAGGAGGCAGAAGCAGGCAGATCTCTGTGAGTTTGAGACCAGCCTGGTCTACAGAGCCAGTTCCAGGACAGCCAGGCTACACAGAGAAACCCTGTATCAAAAAACCAAAACAAACTAACACACCAGAATACAACAAAACAAGCAGAAGGAGAAGAGCCCAAGATAGGGAACAGATAGACACAGAGACCTGCTCATTTGCACACTCAGGTGTTGGGGAATATTATTTTAACTAGGTAAGGATGCCGTTACATTTGATTATGCTGCAAAATATTACATTAACTGTGTAAAGGTGTGTTATTTTGTTTCTGCTACACTCGTTTAATGATGTAA